AAGCCCATCCTCCTTGCTGTAACCCTGGCTTTCTAGATGCTATCCAGCTTTTTGTCTGTCTGTCTGTGCACTGAAGAGATCCTCACAGGTCAAAGGGCATCTCTTTGATCCTGGAGCAAGCCTCCTGTGATAGGCTAGCTGCCCAGAGTCCAGATCCTGCCCAGGATTGCCACAATGTTGACAAGGGCCCTGGAGTCACAGTTAACATGGTGAGGCAGTCTTAATTTGCTGACTGGACAGCCTGAGGGCCTTTGCCTGGAATATTCTAGCCAGTTTGCAATGTTGTTCCAGTAGGAACTTGACTGGGGAGCTCATCTTCTCCTTTAGGAAGGCTGAGTATCTCCCAGTGGTGGCCTTGTAATTGGAGATGTGAAGGATCAGTCCCATTGCTCTGTAGACCCTCCTTGCCATGGTGTCCAAACAGCGTCCCTCTCAATCTGCTGGGATGGAGTGCTCACTTTGCACTTGATACTGTGCTATCTCCACAATGACCAAGTTTGGCTGGGGTGGTACAGCGGGAACAGAAGGTCCATCTCCTGGACCCAGAGCAGGCTCTCCAAACAGCTTGATGTTGGCTTTAGCTGTGGTTGTGCCTTCCATGGTTCAATTCATGGGCTGGAGGAGTATCAAAAGGAACAGGATGGCCACCAGCACTGCATCCTCCTTCTGAACAATGTCATGGACTGGGTCCGCTGGTGGTTTAGTGAACTTTTGGGTGTCCAGCCCTGTTCTGAGAACCTCTCCAGGTATTTGAAGAGGGATTTTGGACCTTGTGCCAAGATGACATCTTTGGGCAAAAAAGACATTGGGTCATCATAGATCAGTGACTGGTTTGACTCAGATGCATAGTTAGTGGGATCTGGTGCAGGAATTGGTAGAGGAACCAGTGCAGGAACTGCAGCAGGAATCATTGGTGGAATGGGTGTGTGCACCTGCGCAGATGACACTGATGGTGAGTGGCGTTGAGACCATTTCTTGTCCTTGCCCTTCTTCGCCACCGTTTTCTTGGCATCTAACATCTCACATGTCTTCTTGGCCCAGTTCATCACTCTCTCCTTTTTGGGTGTGTGCCCAAATGTGGGTGGTATGGTTGGAATGGCTGTTGGAGCCTGAGCAATTGCCGATGAAAGGTGAGAAGCAGGAGTTGCCTGCAAGGCTGAAGGGTGCATTGGCGGCACCACCATGACCAAGTCAACAGCCCTAAGGAAGTGGCTCCACATCTCCGACTTCAGTCTGCCCACTTGGATTTCTGAGCCTGCTACAAGAACGCCTGGCAGTGATCTTTGCCTAAGCAAAATAGGCACAAAGAGTACCCATCAGTCATCAGTGGAGAGCATGTGGCACCCACACCACACGTATTTCCTAAAGGCTATGCTGTGCACCATCAAGGGAGCAAAAGAGAAAGGAATAAATACTGGAGAAAAATCTGAAAAAGAGAGAATAATAGAAGGGTTGTTTGTGGGGGAGGGATATGGGTAGGTAAAAAGCTGGGTTCTGAATTTGAGAAAGAATGAAGTAAATAGAACAAGTTTGAGAAAGAGAATATATCAGTAGAATGTTCTAAAAGGTAATAAGAGAAAGCACTAGGAAAGACCTAAATGGCAGACGGAAAATGGCAGGAGCACCTCCTGGGGAAGAGAGGGGTGGGGTTTACACTAAAACAAGTTTTGCTAGAAAAATCTTTCTCACAACAGGTCCCATGAAGGTGCAGGGCCCATATACATGAGACCATGAAGAAGAATGTGCATTAACTCAGGGGTTTTTTTTTCAGATATAGAATTCAATTTTGCTGCTGCTTTATCTGTTTGCCTGGTGGTTCTTTGCATTTTTAAGTTTTATTTTTGTTTTATATTTTAGCTGAAAAGTGATGTTAATTCCTTTGAAGATTCTGCTATAGGAAGGCAGGGTAAATATATTCAACATAGTAAACTGCAGGAGCTGGAAACCTTTAGAATTATGAGAGCATGCCATGAATACTCTTCCAAAATAGTTGCCATAGGGAAGGTTTCACATTCTCAGAATGGCTACCACAGTAAGGGCAGACAGTAGCAAAACACCCATTTACCAAAAGTCAGATTGGTGAAGCTAAAAACAAACTAATTTATCAGGACCTAAGATCAAAGCAGGAGTAGGTTCTGTGTTGCAAAGCACAAAACCATTCCTTAAACCCACAATATCATTCTCCAAGACCTATTTAACAGAAGGCATACTTCAAAACAAAGCCTTGGGCTACCACCATACACCATTTTATTTTCTCAGAATACCTCCAAGGTCCTTTACTCTCAGATATCAACATGGAAGAGCACTGGGGGCTGGCATTTCGTTTTGCTGCACACTGGCCTACCAGTTAAAGTTCAATTAAAACATATTTACAAGTTCAATACATTCAGGAGAAGCAGGGAGCCTGGAATGCACTAAGGGAGGTGACTGGAGACACACTGGTACTTATGGTCAATATGCTGTGAACCCCATATTAAATGAAAAGAATTGCCCAGCTCAAAACAGGTTATTCTGTCTAGCAACTTGGAAAGCCACTGCCAGGAAACATCTTTTCCTGACCTACCCTTTCACCCAATATCCTTTTAACTGGAGCTTCTAGACCAGTGATGGCAAACCTTTTAGAGACTGAGTGCCCACACTGCAACCCAGAACCCACTTATTTATCACAAAGTGCCAACAGTGCAATAAAACTTGAATACTGAGGTTTTAGTTTAGAAAAAAGCAACTTATACATTAACATCTTTTGTCTTAAAAAAACCCACAATAACAGAGAGAAGGAGCCATGTTCACGTTCAGCGCTCCCAAGTCGGGGGACGCTGAGCTTGCTTGTGCCCAGGCACATGCACTCCCTCCCTCCCCGCCCCCAAACCAGCCACCGGAAATGCTGCAGGAGCTTCAGCAGCACTTGAAAGTTTACCGGAGGGGCGGAATGGAGGGGAGGGAGACCTAAACTAAAGGTGAGGAGAGACTATTGCTGATCCCTTCCACGCTTCTGTTGGGATCTTCCTTGAGGTGCCCCCACGGCCCTGCCAAGCCTTGGCGAGTGGGTTTTGGTGGGGAGGGGGATCCCCGCCACGTACCCACTCCTGTTGCTTTGCCGCAGTTCCAGCCTCCACTTTTCCTCGTTTTGGCCTCCCTCCCCAGGAAGCGCCATATTCATCCCGGGCACCCTTTCTCTCTTCCTCCTCACTCCAGCTGCTGCTGCCATTCTGCCGTCTCCACCCCCATTGCTTGCTCCCTTAGCCCAGCTCCCCCCCGCCGCCCCGCGGCCACTAGCGCAGGAGCCCAGTCTGGGAGCAGGCACGCAGGCAGGCAGGCATGCAGCTGCCTGGCTGCACCTGCGGTTACCGAATTGGCAGGGTCCAGCCACTGTGCTACAAGGGCAGCTTGGGCTCACATGCTGCGGGCCAGGAGGAGGAGGAGGGCGCCACCACCAGCACTCAGCACACCCGCTTGCTGCTCGCCCACTCCCTTCCTGCTGCACCCACCGCGGCTTGTTGTGCCTGCCTCTGGCCACCTGTTTGACGCCACCTCTTGCAGCGAGTTGCGCTCAATGAGTGATGTCGTTGCCTGGCACTGTTACTCTTTCCAAATATGTGCATAGCTGCTGGGGCAATGCTGGGGGGACTTGGCTCATGTGCCAACAGAGAGGGCTCTGCGTGCCTGCTGTGGCATGCATGCCATAGGTTCGCTATCACTGTTCTAGGGACTGGGCTTTGGATTGTTTGTATGCAAATCAAGCACTCTACTATTGACCTACACCTCCTTAACTTGATGTCTTAAGAATTAAAATAAAAAGCACTTGCATTTCAATACGAGTATTTAGATTTTAGTCTAGCGGCATAAAAACTTATACTGTTATACAGCCCAGGCACATCTGGCAATAATAAATGCCACACCATGTTAATTTCAAAGCCAGTTAACACTCCCAGTAGCATGAGCTCATGGTCCTTAGCTGCTGAGGACAGCAATATTTGCAAGGAGTGCAGCAAAACATTGTGGCCCTGCAATGCTACAACGGCAATCATCCAGCAAGTCACTGACTTGGCTTTGTAACAAAATGAAAGAGGGATTATTTTCTTGAATTTAAAGACCAAAGTGCTATAGCATCATATCAAAAGCCACGGAACTTTTTTTTTTTTTTTTTGGTGGTGGGGAGGGGGGAGGAATCAGGAGAGTTGCATTATTTTGAGAGTTCTATGACAGAGATATGAAGTCACACATGTAATACTCTCATGCTCATATATTTACCCTAGACATCTGGTCTCTCTCAGTATTTCTCCTCCACTCCTTGCCTGCTCCATTTCACCTTCACTGCAGAACAGGGAAGTCAGAGTGCTGCCATGTTTTGTTTTGTTTTTTATGTGGAAGGGGGAGGGTGGATCTTCCCTTCCTTGACCATAAGAAGTTCACAATGGCATTTTAAGAACTGTTCTGAATTTCATGATTGCCACTGAAACTGAAGCAATTTTTATACAAGGATAAAACAGAATCCCCATTTACAGGAATTCTACACAGCAAGCTATAACATTGCAATCTACTATTGATATAGTTTTGCAAATATTAAATTAGTTTTGATATAGAGGATTGGGCACCTGTAACAGTATGAACCTCTTCCAGATGATCACACAGGGAAGTTTTTGTAGGTTGGAATCAATTTGCCTTTTTTCTGGGTCAATTGAATGAGACCCAATGTGGTATAGTGGTTAGAGTGTTGGATTGGCAATCCAGGAGATTCAGGTTCTAATCCCCACTCAGCTATGAAGCTCACTGGGTGACTTTCAGCCACTCACTCTTAGCCTTATCCAAAAAGATAAAACAGAATGGAGGAGGACTATGTAAGTTCCCTTGAGTTCCTTGGAGGAGGAAAAAAGGCAGGAAATAAATACAATTAACAACAACATATGTGGTCAAACAGGCAAAGAAATACATGTGTAGATTAATAATGTCTTGTGGGTTTATTTGCAAGGTTGTAGTACAAGGAACTCCCAATATCTTACCTATCACAAATGACTCCAAATCAGTTTTTAAGTTCTGAAGCAACTGGATCAGGTGGACAGATACATCAATCAGACCCAAGTTCCTGTTATAAAACACAGGTTTCAACAATCAGGTTGATGTCATCAAAAATAAGGAGAGAAACCACTTTTACACAAGGGAGCATCATTCCATAAAGCCCCAAATATGTTGACTATGTTGTGATATATTAAAAGGATTAAGGGCTAGAAAACCCACCCCACCCCCTGAAAGTTACTAACTGAGTTTGCCTAATGTCAGGTGTGACAGGGCAGCCTACAAAGGATTTCTGAATGCCACTGTCACTCAGATTCTAGAGCAGGACCAGGCAAGAACGGCCTAAGGACATGGAAGATGGCAGAAAAACATAGGAAAAAGGAAGCAGTAGCTTGATAACAGGCCCAAAGAGGCAAAGGGACCTAGGAAAGGAATAGGAAAGAGTGGATGCAAATTCAAACAAGAGAAGGAGGGCTGAGAAGGTAAACCATGTGGGGAGAGAGAAAAGACAGGAGAGGACAGTTGCCCAAGGCTGGGAACTATAAGAGATAAAGTAAACTGACATTCATATATTGATCTCAAATAGGTAACAAAAAGTTTTAGCCATAAAGGTCTATCCCTCCAACATTCCTCAAAGAAAACAGGGAAACACTTTCTTAAATGCATACCTATTCTTGTCCTGCTAAGAGTTTACCATTGTCCAACACATACATACATAAAATCATGAGAATGATTAATGCTACAATGCATCTTATTAACCATCTAAAATGTTAAAGTTATCAAAATTTATTCTTTGAATAAGAGGTTAGCAGACAGAAAGAAAACTAGTACATTTTTTAAATTTTGTAACATTCACTCCTTCATGGATCACTGCCTTGTCGTGGAGAAGGGACTTGCGTAGCTCAATGAAGCTATGAGCTATGCCATGCAGGGCCACCCAAGATGGGCAGGCCATAGCAGAGAGCTCTGACAAAACGTGATTCACTGGAGAAGGAAATGGCAACCCACTCCAGTATCTTTGCCATGAAAACCCCATGAACAGTACCAAAAGGCAAAAAGATATGACACCGGAAGATGAGCCCCTCAGGTTGGAAGGTGTCCAATATGCTACTGGGGAAGAGCGGAGGGCTAGTACTAGTAGCACCAGAAAGAATGAAGCGACTGGGTCAAAGCCAAAAGGACACTCAGTTGCAGATGTATCTGGTGGTGAAAGGAAAGTCCGATGCTGCAAAGATCTATACTCCATAGGAACCTGGAATGTAAGATCCATGAATCAAGACAAGCCGGACATGGTCAAACAAGAGATGACAAGACTGAACATCGACATCTTAGGAATCAGTGAACTCAAATGGACAGGAATGGGTGAATTTAATTCAGATGACCATCAAATATACTACTGTGGACAAGAATCCCTCAGAAGAAATGGAGCAGCCTTCATAGTCAATAAAAGAGTAGGAAAAGCAGTACTGGGATACAACCTCCAAAATGACAGAATGATCTCAGTTCGAATCCAAGGAAAACCATTCAACAATACAATAGTCCAAGTCTATACCCCAACCACTGGTGCTGAAGAGGCTGAAGTTGACCGGTTCTATGAAGGCCTACAATACCTTCTAGAATTAACACCAAAAAATGATGTCCTTATCATCATGGGGGATTAGAATGCTAAAGTAGGAAGCCAAAAGATAACCAGAATAACAGGAAAGTTTGGCATTGGAGTATAAAATGAAGCATGGCACAATCTGGTAGAATTTTGTCAAGAGAATACGATGGCCATAGTAAACACTCTTTTCCAACAACTCAGGAGACAACTCTACACATGGACATCACCAGACAGTCAGCACAGAAATCAGATTGACTATGTACTCTGCAGCCAAAGATGAAGAAGCTCTATACAGTCAGTAAAAACAAGATCAGGAACAGACTGTGGCTCAGATCATGAGCTTCTTGTTGCAAAATTTAGGCTTAAACTGAAGAAAGAAGGGAAAAGCACTAGGCCACTCAGATATGACCTAAATCACATTCCTGATGAATATACAGTAGAGGTGACAAATTGATTTCAGGAATTAGATCTGATAGAGTGCCTGAAGAACTCTGGACAAAGGTTTGCAACATTGTACAAGACGTAGCAACAAATACCATCCCAAAGAAAAAGAAATGCAAGAAAGCAAAATGGCTGTCTGAGGAAGCTTTGCAAATAGCTGAGGAAAGAAGGGGAGTGAAAGGCAAGGGAGAAAGAGAAAGATACAAACAATTGAATGCAGAATTCCAAAGAATAGCTAGAAGAGATAAGAATGCCTTCTTCAATGAACAGTACAAAGAAATAGAAGAAAACAATAGAATAGGGAGGATCAGAGGTCTCCTCAAGAAAATTGGAGATACGAAGGAACGTTTCATGCAGAGATGGGCATGATAAAGGACCAAAATGGCAGGGACCGACCAGAGGCAGAAGAGATTAAGAAGAGGTGGCAAGATTACACAGAAGAACTATACAAGAAAGAGCATAAATAAATGTCTTTTTATTTAAATGTCATTTTAATTGTTAACAATATTTGCTTATTTATCTGGCCAGAGTGACTTCTTTTATATTGTTATTTATTTTATATTGTTAATTTTATATTGTTATTTTTGTATTTTATTGTATTTTATTTTGTGCTGTGAGCCGCCCCGAGGCTTCGGCAAGGGGCGGCATAGAAATGTTTTAATAAATAAATAAATAAATAAATAAATAAATAAAGTCCCTGATAACCATGATGGGGTGGTCACTGACCTCGAGCCAGACATCCTGGAATGTGAAGTCAAATGGGCCTTAGGAAGTCTGAGCAACAACAAAGCTAGTGGAGGTGACAGTATTCCAGCTGAGCTATTCAAAATCTTAAAGACGATGCAGTAAAAGTGCTACACTCAATATGCCAGCAAACTTGGAAAACTCAACAGTGGCCACAGGATTGGAAAAGGTCAGTTTACATTCCCATCCCAAAGAACAGAAATGCCAAAGAATGTTCAAACCACTGCACCATTGCACTCATTTCACATACCAGCAAAGTAATCCTCAAAATCCTACAAGCTAGGCTCCAGCAGTATGTGGACCGAGAACTCCCAGAAGTACAGGCAGGATTTCAAAGAGGGAGAGGAACTAGAGATCAAATTGCCAACATCTGTTGGATCATGGAGAAAGCTGGGGAGTTCCAGAAAAACATCTACTTCTGCTTCATTGACTATGCTAAAGCCTTTGATTGTGTGGATCACAACAAATTGTGGCAAGTTCTTAAAGAGATGGGAGTACCAGATCATCTTATTTGTCTCTTGGGAAACCTATATTCAGGTCAAGAAGCAACAGTGAGAACTGGACACGGAACCACTGATTGGTTCAAAAGTGAGAAAGGAGTTCGGCAAGGCTGTATACTGTCACACTGCCTATTTAACCTATATGCAGAGCACAACATGAGAAAGGTGGGGCTAGATGAATCACCAGTTGGAATCAAGTTTGCTGGGAGAAATATCAACAACCTCAGATATGCAGATGATACCACTCTCATGGCAGAAAGTGAAGAGGAACTAAAGAGTCTCCTGATGCGGGTGAAGGAGGAGAGTGCAAAAGTTGGCTTGAAACTTAACATTAAGAAAACTAAGATCGTGGCATCTGGTCCTCTCACTTTCTGGCAAATAGATGGGGAAGAAACAGAGGTAGTGACAGATTTCATTTTCCTGGGCTCCAAGATCACCACAGATGGGGATTGCAGCCAAGAAATTAAGAGACGCTTGCTCCTGGGGAGGAAAGCTATGGCAAATCTAGGCAGCATACTAAAAAGCAGAGACATCACCCTGCCAACAAAAATGCATATAGTCTAGGCTATGGTTTTCCCACTTGCAATGTATGGCTGTGAAAGCTGAACCATAAGGAAGGCTGAGCACCGAAGAATTGAAGCCTTTGAATTGTGGTGCTGGAAGAGACTTCTGCGAGTCCCTTGGACCGCAAGGTGATCCAACCAGTCGGTCCTAGAGGAGATCAACCCTGACTCTTTAGAAGGCCAGATGTTGAAGATGAAACTCAAATACTGTGGCCGCCTAATGAGAAGGAAGGACTCCCTGGAGAAGAGCCTAATGCTGGGAACAATAGATGGCAAAAGAAGAAGGGGACGGCAGAGGATGAGGTGGCTAGATGGAGTCACTGAATCTGTTGGTGTGAACTTAAGTGGACTCTGGGGGATGGTGGAAGACAGGAAGGCCTGGAGGAATGTTGTCCATGGGGTCGCGATGGGTTGGACACGACTTCTCGACTAACAACAACAACATTCATCCCATATATCCCCGCCCTCCTAAAGCTAGGGATTGATTTATTATGAACAGTACAGAAAGCAGGAAATGTCCAAGGAAATGGGTATATCTGGAATGTGTAGTAGAATAAATTTATTACCTCAGGTTTGAAAATATCCACTCACTCACTCACCTGTACAGATTAAGAATTGCCTTCAAGAGAGGAGGCAGAGAAGTTTTTAGCAATTGGGACAATTCACTGTACTTATGGGGTCCCAATGTGGTGCCTATAAGCACTAATGTGCTGCCAGACATTTTGTTTGTTTGTTTGTTTGTTTGTTTGTTTAGAGTATTTGTATGCTGTCCCATTGCATAGCCTCGGGACGGCTTTCATAAAATGACATAAAACATAATACAAATAAAATCCAGATCCACCCTGGCTGCAGATTAAAACCTATAAGCTGAAGTTAAAAGTTATTAAAATATTGTTGGAAAAAAAAAGGTCTTAGCCTGGCACCAAAAAACAAATAACAACAGCGCCAGGCGGACCTCTCTGGGGAGCACATTCCATAGGCTGGGCACCACCGCAGAGAAAGCCCTCCTCCGGGTACTTTGCCTCCTAATGTCTTTCACGGAGGGTTCCTGGAGGAGAGCCTCTGCTGCCGATCTCAGGGGGTGGGAGGGCAAATATGGAAGAAGGCATTCTTTTAGGTATCCAGACATGGTCCTCTTTTCTTCAAATGTGCCCTCCACTGGCATTAAAGTAATGATGGGGAGAGAACATAATTTTTACTGACACCCTGACATTTTATC